CCATCCCCTTAGCTCTCTGGGACAGGGGGCAAGAGGCACCCTCATCTCATTTTATGGTAGAAAACCTAAAGTGGTCGCCGGGAACACAGCTAGCAAATAATGGAGTGAGGATTCCAGCCCAGGCCTCCTGGCTTTATGTCCAGCGCTCTTTCTGTCAAATCCTAGCCATGTAAGGGCCACCCTGCGATGGAGGCAAACCCTAGTTCACGCCTTCCCATGCCACGCCCTCCTACCTCATTCAGGAAGTGGTTTTTGAGGGTGCATGTGGAGCTGGAAATGTGGAGTGGATGTGATGAGTCATCTCAGAGTGAGAGCTGCAGGTTGACTCTGGGGTCAGCAGACCTGGCTCCGCATTTAGTAGCTGTGTGACACTGAGCCAGTCAGTTCCAGCAGCCCACTGCCAGCCCCAGCTGCAACAGCAGGTGGGGATCGGGGTCTAGAGAGAGCTGCTATGAGCAAGAGCTCTGGTGTCACACCTACCACCCCGCCTCAGCCTGTTCCGAGCCCTGGATTGGATTGGGGAGAGGATTTGATTAGATCCTAAGCAGCAGCTCCATTTAGAGCGCCTGGTTCATTTCCTGTGTGCTTCTAGCAGGCGAGACATGGACAGAATTAACTCTGGTCCAGGCAAGCCAGAGAAGTGATGGATGGGACTGAGAGGCAGAAGGGGGACAGGAGCCCTGAGGACTCTGGACTCAAGGCCCTGGGCCAGCAGGCTGGTCCCTCTGGCTGGGTTCTTGTCACCCCAGTCAGTTGCGACAGACACCTAACTGGGTGTCCCCTGCCGCCTGTGCTTCCTCCATCAGATCACTCACCACGCTCGATAAGACCCATTGTCCAGCCTCTTGTTTTTTCTGCTGAACTGACTGCCAGGCTTGTGTCCGACTTGTCCTCTGCTTTCCCCCAGGGCCTCACTCAGTGCCTGGAGAGTGAATGAGTGCACGTATGCCCCAGTCCTGTCCCCCTTCCCCGACCCTGTCCTGCTCATCCTGCCCAGAACGCTTTTCATGTGGCACGGCTCTGCATGTGTCATTTCTTTGCTTACAGGACAGTCCCACCCCTGGCATCTTCCCTTATCTTTATCTCTTCTCTTTTCCTAATTCTCTCACTTGCCACCCCTCCCCCCGGATTTCTGAGGTTTCCTGTATTTGCTCCAGAGGCTCCACCCCAGCTCTCCCAAGAACACAGCCTGACCAAACCTGCCTGGGGGGCCCATCAGGAGCACAGGACAGAACCAATGAATTCTGGTCCTTGTTTGCTAGTACCTGCCTGCGGGGGATCGGCCCAGATTTGATAGTGCTCAGCCTGCTCCCCTTCCTTCTAGACCCTGGGGGTCCCAAACACTTGTGTGTAACAGTCTAAGGAAGCAGGGAGAGACCCTCTGCCAGGAGACATGACTGAATCACTCTCTTGATTTCTTTGGTAATCTTCTTGGCCTCTGGGATCTCAGTTTCCCCATCCCTAAAATAAAACTAGACTGATGATAGCCACCATTTCATCAAATGCTCCTGCTGGGCCAGGCCTGTGAGTCCAGTGTGATATTTCAGCTCTGTGTCTCCGAGAGGTTGGAAGGCTTGGGCAGAGTTGCACAGCTGGGAAGTGGCGCTACAGAGATCAAAACCAAAGTCTGACTCTCACGTCTGAGCACCAAACAGCTGGGCATTCTGAGAGCCCTTCAGTCCTTGGTGGTTTCTCAGCTGACTGGACAGGGGACCTCTGGAGGCAGTGGCACTTCTCCTCCCGGCTTTGTTTGGTTTGGCCTCGGTTTAGGGCAAGATTGGCAGAGGCAGGCTGACTTGCATTTCTGGTTTTGGGTCTGTTGCTGCACTTTCCCGAGGGGTGGGCAGGCTCAGGCAGGAGGTAGTCACAGCTGGGACAGGCCCGGCCCCACTCCCACTCCCACCCCCACCCCTCAGGAAAGGGGAAATGCGGCCTGCTTCCCTCTCCGAGCCACTAGTGCCAGGCTCCAGGGCACCAATTGCTGCTTCCTTCCATGGTCCTCCCAGGTGGGGGTGAGCTGAGCAAAAGTGGATTGTCTAGGAGCGGGCTTTGGGCAGTTTGTTTTTCCTGATGGAGAAAGCTCCCTGGGGGTGGGGCAATGGGCGGGGATCTGGGCTGCTCTGGGGACTGAGATCTTGGGAAAATGGAGCTAGAAGCCTGAGGCTCTAACCCCAGCCTGGCCCTGATTGGTGCCTTTGGGCAAGTCCCTAGGCCACTGTCCAGGCTGGGCTGTCAGTCTTCCTGTCATTTCGGCCACAGGTCTGTCTGCCTGGGAGCAGCCTGATCAGGCAAAGTACAGCCCTTAGTTTCCAGATGAGATTTCTGGATTGGGAGAACTGTTACCAACTTTGACTGGGGGTCTATGACAGAATTTGCTTCTAGGAGTCCCTGGGAAAGATGTGCTGCTGTTTGAGGTCTCCAGATCTCTTTTTAAAGTCACTGTGACGACCACCACCACAATCCCATTGAGTGCTTTATACTTTCTATAGTATGTTCTCTTGGTTGTTACTTGGGTGTGTCAGATGTCCCACTGAATATGTGGGTACCTTGAGGCTCAGAGGATTTAGTGACTGACTCTATGTGGCCCCACAGTGTGAGTCCAGGTTGGTTCCTGCCCCTCTTGGGCCTCAGCTTCCCTCTCTGTGCAATGGGGATTCAGGATTGCTGATGTTGCAGGGTCTGAGGCCATGAGGTCTGACGGCCCCGGGTAGTGTCATCTCCCAGATTCTGGCAGGATTTCCAGGGCAGGGAGTCCATGGGAGTGTGTGGGCACCTGTCTTTGTCTATGCCTGCGAACCAGACCCTCCAGATCACCTAGAGTCATCTGAGGCCTCCCCTCCCTTTTCCAAGCACCACCTCCCCAGGGATGGGACGCTTTCACTTTCATGCTCCCAGGCGGTGGTTCTCACCCACACTTAGTTTGCACATCCCTTCTGCTGCTCCCAGTGTGACCCCTGACACGTGTGCTGTACCCTGCAGCTGCCCTGAGCCATGGCTGGCCACTTACTCCCAGGACTCCTGAGAGCTAATAAAATTTCTCAGCTGCTGGTGCAGCCTTTCAGTCTCTGGGTGGCTGTGCAGTGGAGGGTAAGTCCTTGCTTCTTCGCTCGGCTTTCTCATCTGTGAAATGGACATTAAGGGTCTCGACAGCAAGAGCTCCTAACCTGTGTTCTAGGGGCGTGTTCCCTTGAAATNGGGTCTCGACAGCAAGAGCTCCTAACCTGTGTTCTAGGGGGGTGTTCCCTTGAAATTCTTGGTGTGCGCACGTATATACACATCACACATTCTCATGTATCTGCAGTTTCTGCGTNTCGACAGCAAGAGCTCCTAACCTGTGTTCTAGGGGCGTGTTCCCTTGAAATTCTTGGTGTGCGCACGTATATACACATCACACATTCTCATGTATCTGCACAGTTTCTGCGTAGNCGCACGTATATACACATCACACATTCTCATGTATCTGCAGTTTCTGCGTGTATGGTGTCTTTCTTTCTCATTAGTCCTAGTTGGTTACAGCTTCTTCACGATCGAAACTAGGCTCTAAATACTTCTAGCAACAGCCTTCCAAGTCCTTGACTCTGATGAGTGCAGGCCTGAGACCCGCTTCCCCTGTGACCTCGGCACTGTGGACACTCCTGATCTCTGAGCCTGACTTCGTGCAAGACAGCTGCTTTTCAAACTTCATCAAGGGCACTGTTTTCCCCTCTGCAAATGAAATCCACAGGAACCCAGCAAAAACTTCCAGCGTTCTCAGGGTTGTGTGCAAGGTGGAAAATGATTTCTTTCCTGTGTGTGGAACTCCTGAGGTTCCTCCAGGCATAGTTTAAAAGTCCCTGGGTGGTCCCTCAGTGAGGTTCCATGTGTCGGAGACATCTGTTTAGTCCAGATGTCAGCAGTATTTTGAAGTTCTCATTTCATTCCATTTAGTATCAAAAAGATACTTTAAAAAAGACACTTAAACACTGAGAGCAAGTTCTTTTTTTTTTTTTAATTGTTGGCAGTATTACAGATGTCCCCCTCCACACCCCCCCAGGCCTCGTGAATTACTTTATTGTCGGTGTCCATGGGCTATGCATATATGCATATAGTATGTTCTTTGGTTAATCTCTTTCAGCCCCCGCCCCCCTCCCCCACCTCAGATCTGTCAGTCTGTTCCATGTTTCCATGCCTCTGTTCCTATTTTGTTAGTCAGTTTATTTTGTTCATTAGACTCCACATATAAATGAGATCATGTGATACTTGTCTTTCTCTGCCTGGCTTATTTCACTTAGGATAATGCTCTCCAGGTCCATCCATATTGTTGAAAAGGGTCTTTTTTACAGCTGCATAGTATTCCATGGTGTAAATGTGCCACAGCTCTTTTATCTCCTCTGACTGGCACTTGGGCTGTTTCCAGATCTTGGCTATTGTAAATAAAGCTCCTATGAACATAGGAGCATATATTCTTCCTGATTAGTGTTTCAGGATTCTTAGGATATATTCCTGGAAGTGGGATCGCTGGGTCAAATGGCAGTTCCATTTTTAATTTTTCGAGGAAACTCCATACCGTTTTCCACAGTGGCTGTACCAGTCTGCTTTTCATTTTGTGGAAAGCAAGTTCTCATTTGAATGACTCACTACGCTTTTTAAAAAATGTTGGTTCAGGTAGAAGGTACCCTTTGGCTGGGTCCAAGATTCTCCCACCAGTGATGGATCTGGCTTGGGGCTTGGTTTGGTTGTTGTCCATGAACACAGAGAGAGCCTGGCCTCAATGACCATGTTTTTGATGGGGCAGAAGTTTCAAGAAGTTTCAAGAAGTTATAAGGCCGGGACCCCTTATACGGCTAAGCCAAAGGGGCTTTCAGGTTTCCATCCGGTGCTTCAGCTTTCAGACTGTGGGGTGCAGAGTGCAGGGTGTGGGGCTCAGGCCTCTGCCTGATTGTGTTTCAGTCTCTATGTGCACAGAACCTGGCATCTCATAGCCTCCCCTTCTGACCCTTTGTCTTCTCTTTGTTTCCCAGATGTTTGAGCCAGAGGCGGATGAGAAAAGGGAGATGCCCTTGGAGGAAGGGAAGGGGCCAGGTGCCGAGGACCCCCCATCCAGCAAGGACCCCTCTCCTGGCCAAGAGCCTCCTCCAGGACAAGACCTTCCACCCCATCAGGACTCCGCTTCTGGCCAGGAACCATCTCCAGGCCAAGAATCCCTGTCCAGCAAAGAGTCACCTTCCTGCAAGGAACCCTCACCAAACAAGGACTCCCCACCATGCCAGGAACCCCCTGCAGCCCCAGCGCCCCCTCCCTGCCAGGACCTTCCTGCTGAGCAAGAGCCCCCTCCCAGCCAAGAGCCTCCGCTCAGCAAAGACCTCCCAGCCACCCAGGACCCTCCAGCTCAAGACCTTCCTCCATGTGAAGACCTGCCCCCAGCCCAGGCCCCCCTACCAGCTGAGGCCNCCCGCCTGTGGCCGCCAGGCCAGCCTTTGTGATTCCCGAGGTCCGGCTGGACATTGCAGGGGCAGAGGGGGGCAGCTCGGGGGATGAAGATGGGGAGGAGGCGGAGGAGGGGGAGGAGGCGGAGGAAGACGACGATGAGGACACGAGTGACGACAACTACGGGGAGCGCAGCGAGGCCAAGCGCAGCAGCATGATCGAGACGGGCCCCGGCGCCGAGGGCGGCCTGTCGCTGCGCGTGCAGAACTCGCTGCGGCGCCGGACGCACAGCGAGGGCAGTCTGCTGCAGGAGGCGCGCGGGCCCTGCTTCTCCTCCGACACCACCCTGAACTGCTCCGACGGGGAGGGCGCCGCGTCTTCCTGGGCCATGCCTTCGCCCCGCACCCTCAAGAAGGAGCTCGGCCGCAACGGCGGCTCCATGCACCACCTTTCCCTCTTTTTCACGGGACACAGGAAGGTAAGGAGGTGGAGGGAGGAAGAGGAATGGGTCCAGGAAAGGGTGGGGTGGGGTAGGGTGGTGTGGGGTCCAGGAGCTGCAGGGAAGGAGCAGGCACTTTGTCCCACCCCTACCAGGACCTTCCTGCTAAGCCTTCCAGTGAGTTTTTCCAATGAGCCTTATACCCATTTGACAGAGAACAAAACTGAGACCCGGAGAGACCAGAGGCAGAACCTGGACTGAAACCCATGACTTTATGACTCCGGACATTGTGTTCTTACGGCTCCGTTGTACTGGGGGTCCCCACAGAAAGGAGAGCAGATGCGGCCTAGCCCAGGACATGGTGTATGTGGATCTTAAAGATCCAAGATAGCAGCTAGAGAAACAGTTACAGTTTAGACTTGGTCCAGGCCCAGCCAGATTAGAAATCCATCAGCCAACAACAATGACAACACACATTTGCTCTATGCTGGCATTATTCTAAGCAATTTACATCAACTCATTAATTCCACAATAGCCTGGTGAAGTAGGCACTATTACTGTTCCCCACAGATGAGGAAACTGAGGCACTGAGGTTATCTCACTTGCCCAGGTTTTTAAATACCAGAACCAGAATTAGCATCTGGCTTCAGGGCTGGAGCTCTTAACCATCATGCTATTTGCCTCTTGCAAATATTTATAAGTAGAGGAATAAGTGTTTATTGATTTCTTGCTGTGTGCCAGCCTCTGTTCTTTGTGCCACAGCTGGACCCCAGAAATGTGTGAGGCTGGTCTCAACCTGGGAGGGATGAGCTGTCTGTGTGGGCCGGGAAGGTGGCCTAGCTGTGACATGATTGCGCTGTGTCCTTGAAGCCCATTAGCCAGCTTGAGTCTGGGTTCTATCTCTTACTGTGTGGCCTTAGGTGAGTCACTGAGCTCCTCTGGGCCTTAGTGTCCTTATCTGAAGAGCAGAGATTAATGGTACTCAATATCCCAGGGTGGTTGAGAATGATCCAGAAGAGCCTGGGGCCTAATGACATTAGTGCAGGCGCTAAGCAAATGCTGTTGAGGTGCCAACAGCCAGTGCAGTGCAAGGTGTTGTTGTGACAGNTAAGCAAATGCTGTTGAGGTGCCAACAGCCAGTGCAGTGCAAGGTGTTGTAACAACTGTTGTGAGGCTGCGTGAGTGGGGCTGGTCAGTGTCCCCAGAGGGCAGCAGACCCTCAGGGACCTGTGAGTTCAGGGAGGAGAGATCCCAGGGCCTAGCCCCATCAGGGAAGGCTTCTAGAGAAGTCTTCCAGCTCTCCCTTGTCTCAGCTCCCCTCAGCTTAGCCTTGGAATAAGCAGACAGGCTGAGGCAGGCATTCTGGGAAAGAGGACATGACCTGGACAGAAATGTGCACAGTTTGACTAGAGCAGGTATTCCTGAATTGCAGGGATGGCAGCCACATGGCACCCCCACTGCTGTGCCTGCCTCCAAACCCATTGCAGATGTGACTAAGTTTCCAGCATGCGTCCCCATAGAGCTGGGACATGCCTCGGAAACCTTAACTTCGAAGCCACTAGCAAGAAAGCCAACTTAGCACTTGGGAGGACACCTGTGGAAAGGTGGTCGGGCTGGCAGAGCAGCCTGGAGCCCTCAAGAACAGGACCTTAAACTTTGGGTCCAGGAATTGGAACTAAATCCCGGAGGAGTTGGGACTGGATCTCAGTTTCCTCATCTGCAAACACGTGTGGTTCTCAAACTTTGATGTGCTTCGAAATCACCAGGAGGCGGTTATTAATATCTAGGGTTCTAAGTCCCCAACCCCAGACTTCTAGAATCAGAATTTCCATGTGAGAGGCTCAGACCCTGCATTATAAACAAGCCCCCCAGGGACTTTGTTCCTCATAGTTTGAGTATCATTGTCTTAGGCCATTTCTCGATCTACCTCCTACAAGAGAGAGTCCAGACCTCTGTCCTACTGAGGTGGCCTCAGCTGACTCGGAGGCCTGGGCACTCTTCTCTGGGGGGTGGCTGAGGTCCACCGCCTGCCTTGGGCCTCCTAATCCTGCTCCCCCCATCAGACCCTTCCAAGCTCTCTCCCCTCCCCCTTGCTCCAATACAAATACTCATAATACAGATAAATTCACACACATTCATGCATACACTTCTAGTTCAAGTTAGTTGACCTCAGCTCCTGTATTGGGATAGATACTTCTGCCTGGGAGTCCAGCAGGGCTGGACCAGCTCTCTCCTGTCTCAGCTTTCTCGTTTGGGTGCCCAGGGTTCACACTGGCATTCTCCTTCCCCACCCTCTTTTAGCCTGCTGCTTCCTTTCTTGGGCTTGAGTGATTGAACTTAGGGCCTCCGAAGTTGCCCCCAGCCCCGTGGTGGCTGCTCTTCTGTGTGGCTTCTGCTTCCCAGGCCTTGAATCCTCCATCATCATTCGTGTCCTGCTCCCTCCAGCCAGACAGCTTTAGTAAGAAACCTACCCTTGTCAAGGGGAAGGAAGGTCTAGGCTGGACAAGCACCCTGGTCTTTCTCCATCCCTCACTGGCAGGGGGCCTTGGGCAAGTCCCTGCCCCTCCCTGAGCCTCAGTTTTCTCATTAATGAAATAGGTATGGTAATAACACCTCCTCTGTAGGGTTGCTAAGAAGATTAAATAGCCCAACTTGGGTAAAATGTTAAGGTCAGGGCCTGGCACTCAGCACCTGGTGGGTGCGCCATAAATGGGAATCATGTTGATGAGGAAGAGGGAGGACAGCAGCAAGAAGAGTAACAGTCATCCCAGCATTCACCACATGCCTCCAGCTCCCCCCTTTTTAAAAAAAAAAAAAAATCTTTATTGATTTCAGAGAGAGGAAAGGAGAGGGATAGAAAGATAGAAACATCAATGATGAGAGTCACTGATCGAGCCCTCAACCCAGGCATGTGNCCCCCTTGCTCCAATACAAATACTCATAATACAGATAAATTCACACACATTCATGCATACACTTCTAGTTCAAGTTAGTTGACCTCAGCTCCTGTATTGGGATAGATACTTCTGCCTGGGAGTCCAGCAGGGCTGGACCAGCTCTCTCCTGTCTCAGCTTTCTCGTTTGGGTGCCCAGGGTTCACACTGGCATTCTCCTTCCCCACCCTCTTTTAGCCTGCTGCTTCCTTTCTTGGGCTTGAGTGATTGAACTTAGGGCCTCCGAAGTTGCCCCCAGCCCCGTGGTGGCTGCTCTTCTGTGTGGCTTCTGCTTCCCAGGCCTTGAATCCTCCATCATCATTCGTGTCCTGCTCCCTCCAGCCAGACAGCTTTAGTAAGAAACCTACCCTTGTCAAGGGGAAGGAAGGTCTAGGCTGGACAAGCACCCTGGTCTTTCTCCATCCCTCACTGGCAGGGGGCCTTGGGCAAGTCCCTGCCCCTCCCTGAGCCTCAGTTTTCTCATTAATGAAATAGGTATGGTAATAACACCTCCTCTGTAGGGTTGCTAAGAAGATTAAATAGCCCAACTTGGGTAAAATGTTAAGGTCAGGGCCTGGCACTCAGCACCTGGTGGGTGTGCCATAAATGGGAATCATGTTGATGAGGAAGAGGGAGGACAGCAGCAAGAAGAGTAACAGTCATCCCAGCATTCACCACATGCCTCCAGCTCCCCCCTTTTTAAAAAAAAAAAAAAATCTTTATTGATTTCAGAGAGAGGAAAGGAGAGGGATAGAAAGATAGAAACATCAATGATGAGAGTCACTGATCGAGCCCTCAGCCCAGGCATGTGCCCTGACCAGGAATCGAACCCCGATCGCCTGGATCCTAGGTCGATGCTCAACCGCTGAGCCGCGCCCGGCCGGGCTCCCTTTTCTAGCTTTCACACACTGCTTCAAGGTGGGCCCAGCTCTACCCGTCTTACAGTTTGGAGCCTGAGGCCGAGGGAGAAATGTTTTGTCCCAGACCATACAGCGAGAGCAGCTGGGGAGCGGCTTCACCCTTGCCCCGTCCTCTCTGGCTTTACCCCAGGCCCTGTGCACCTCATGCTGGTGATGGCCAGGGGCGGGGGCTGGCAGCTGGGGAGGCAGTGCTTTTCCATGACCTCCATCTTCCTGGCTTAGGCCTGGCTCTCCTGGGTGGGTCAGTGGGTGCCGACAGGCCACTGTTTGCCGGCAAGGGGTGAAGAGGAGGGGGGTGAAGTCTTCAGGCTGTGGAATCAGACAGACCCGGGTTCCAGTCTCAGCTCTGCCTCTTCCTGCCTGGTCCTGAGACCTTCGTCAAGTGACATCTTTCTCTGAGCTTTAGTCTTCTCTTATTAAATGGGAAGACTTGAGTCTGTTTGGAGTTGTCCAGGGATTCAAGAAGGTTGCCGCATGTAGAAAGCTCTTTGCCCATGGCACTGACCCTGAGGCGATGTGAAACCTAGGAGTGCCAGACAGAGCTGGCACGGCCTCAGGCTGGTCACTGTGCAGTTGTGTGGCCAAGCGGAGGCTGCCTGGAACACAAGTTGCCTGTCACAGGATGACCATTCCTACATTGACCCTCCCCCACCTGTCATCCTGCCCTCTTTGTGCACTGAGTGACCTCTACTGAGTATGAGTGTCCAAACCAGACAGACCTAAGGCGCTGTCTGCTTGGCTATGGTCATCTTACTGCTGGGCCTCCTGAGGTCCAGAGAGGAGAAGACCCCACAAGGTTATCCCATGAGTCACGCCCTGGGCCTGGCTCCTTGTGCTGAGCTGAGTTGTCTCACAGTGCCCTCTGCTGCCAGACCCTCGCCCTGCTGGCTGCTCCCTGGAGGCCACGCCAGGCAGATCTAGTCCTGGCCCTGGGAGTCAGCCCCCAAAGCAGCCAGGGAAACCCAGGCACCAAGGGGGAGGGGGGTGTTGTGGGCTAGAAAGAGTAGAAACTAAGATGAAAAGTTGGGATTCTGATTTGCAGCCCCAGAGTGGCTCCCAAGGCTCCTCTCTATAGGAGCTGCAGCAAGGCCTGCCCAGGGCTGGCACACAGAGGGGCTCTCCTTCCCATCTGCTGCCCACCATCTCTGTGCCATGTGACCCTCCCTGATTAATGGCTAATGGAGGTGAGGGGAGCCCAGAACCATCTCCCTTTACCCCAGGGAGGCAGGGAAGCCCTGAGAGCATCTGTATCTGTGTCTGGGCCCAGGATGCTGCCATTGAATTGCATCGCAGTCAGGCCTGGCCCAGCCCAGAGTCACAGGTCATTTTTCGACAGTGAGGAGACAGAGGCTGGGCCCCTCCCAGGCCACACTTCCTTGTTCCCTCCTCCTCAGGGCGGAGGCTTGTGCAGAGGCTATCAGTGGAGGGGGCTCGCCCTGCCACACTAAGCTTCCCCTCTAGGCTGTGGGTCAGACAGAGGGCTCCTAAGATGACTTCCAGCTCCAAGATGTGATCACACCTTCTAGCCTCCTATTTAAGAAAAGCTTAAAGAAAAATGATTTCCTGTGTCTAAACAAATAAGGGTAGAGTCTGTATCCAGTGTTTCCACATGGTTCCATGGGGCCTGCCAGGCTGGGCTGGTCAGAGAGCAACGAGGCTGGCCATGGGGCTCTGGAAGTCAGGTCAGGACCAGTAGGGGGAACCAGGTTGGGCCCTGCTGACAGGAGAGCCCTCAGTCATGGGTGGGCTCTGGAGCTGGACCTGAAATTCTCTGCTACTTGCCAGCTCTGAGAGTCCATGAGATAACTGAGCTGCTCTGGGCCTCAGTTTCCTCACCTGTACACTGGGAGAAATAACAGCAAATAGCCCTTAGAATTGTTGCGAAGATTAAATTAGGTCAAGTTTGTAATGGCACTTTAGCTCAGTGCCCGACACATAGTGAGTGCTCATCAAGTAACAGCAGCAGCTACAATGGCTTACAGTTATCGAGCACGTCCATGGGAAAGCACTGTGCTGAGCACTTCACCGGTGTTAACTTCATTAATCTTCATAACAGCCCTAAGAGGTGGGTCTATCACTTTCATCTTACAAGTAAAGAAACCAAGGCACAGAGAAGGGTAACTTGTCTGAGGTCTGTTAGCTAATACATGACTGAGCTGGGATCCAAATCCAGGCAGTTTAGAATCTTTACTGCTATGATTATAGTTCTAATTACAATAAAAATTCTAATCATTGTTCCAAGAGGCAGTGAGCTCTCTGTCCCTGGAGGCGTCTGGGTGGGGCTGGGCAGGCCCCAGGGATTCCTGTCTGTGGTGAGGGGAGATGGTTCTGGGCTCCCCTCACCTCCATTAGCCATTAATCAGGGAGGGTCACATGGCACAGAGATGGTGGGCAGCAGATGGGAAGGAGAGCCCCTCTGTGTGCCAGCCCTGGGCAGGCCTTGCTGCAGCTCCTATAGAGAGGAGCCTTGGGGGCCACTCTAGGGCTGCAAATCAGAATTCCACCTTTTCATCTTAGTTTCTTCTCTTTCTGGCCCACAACTCCACACCCTACCTCCTTGGTGCCTGGGTTTCCCTGGCTGCTTTGAGGGCTGACTCCCAGGGTCAGAGCTGCCCGGCCTCTCTCTCAAGGCAATTGGCTTGGTCTGGTCCTTGCTGAAGATGACCATTCTCCCGAAGATGACCCCCTCCCAGCAGTGGAAGGAAGAACCCATTTCCCAGCAGTACCGAGGCTGGGGGTGGCGGGTGGGGTGGGAGTGGTCCCCAGGCCCATTGTGTGGCGCTGATAAAGTGCGGAAGCTAAGGTTAGAATGGGAGGAAGCGCAGCGCCCAGGGCCCTTTCCCACGGGTGGGGGCTGCGGGCACTGCCTAGCCCAGCCAGCATGACCACAGCTTGTATATTCAATGGGTGACAGAGTAACCCTCAGTGGGCAATGAACACTGGCAGCCCCTGGGTACTGAGGGTGCACTGTGTGCCAAGGCTGGGCCATGGGAGCCCAGATGTTTTCTTAGTGAATCTTCCAACAGTGGGGTGTGTGGTGATCATTATGCCTGTGTTAGAACTAAAGATGCTGAAGCTGAGAGGCTGGGAGACTTCTCCAAAGCCAGTAGAAGTGGGATCTATACCAGGCCTGGCTGCAAACCAAGCTCTGGAATCTCACATCACAGATGGGCGTGTGCCTGTGTGTGCACGTACACACGTGTTTACAACCTTGGTGGGACAGCGTTCTCAGGAAGGAGGCCGCATTTCCCTTGAGTCTTTCACTGAAAACATTAAAAATGTACTCGGTTCTTGTGTTTGAGTAGCAGCATCCTCTGGCGGAGAAACACACGGCTTGAATTCAGATAGACCTAGATTCCAGCTGTCAGTTAAACACTGAGTATCCTTAGTCAAATAACTTAACCTCTCTGAGCCTCTGCTTACTTTATGGACTTACTCTGAAGATTAATGAGATAGTACCTAAATACTGCCCATTCCAAGGTCTGGCCTATAGTACAAGCTCTGTAAATGCGCTACTCCATCCATCCATCCTGCCATCCATCTATCCATCCATCCTGCCATCCATCCACCCACCCACCAGATGGCTGGTGCTTCCCTGAGGCTAGTAGCTCCTCCTGCTGGATGTGTCTGGATTACTTTTCTTTCCAGATTAACACAGCATTTTAGGGCCTAGCCCATCTTCTTTATTTTATAAATAAGGAAACTGAGGCCCAGGGTGGGGCTCATGAGGAGTCAGAGCTGAGATCCACACCTGGAGGCCTTCTATCTTGTCTTGGGACAGAGAGTCCAAGCCCATCCCTCTCTGAGCTCTGGCTCCTCTGCTGTCTCGGAGCATTTCCTGGGCTTCTGCTCTGGGTGGCACAGTTGGGGCCCTTGTTTCCCCTGGAGAAGGACAGGCAAGCACAGGCAGGGCAAGGGAGACAGAGGGGGCCCCAGGAGAGATTGTGGGAGTCTGGAGTGTTCTGGGGGAGTGGTGGACTGGGGGGAGGTGGAGACTGGGGAGAAGAGGAGAGGGCATTCCAGGAAGGGGCACAGCACAGGCGGCGG